ACACACACATTTCTGAAATGCGCAAATAGGATCCTATGGACATGCAATAATGGAGAGATGTCAGAGTGAGGGGTGCCACAGCAAGCACTGCTGTAAACTCCTGAGCTGGTAGGGGGGGTTCGGTGCCTTGCTCAAGGGCACCAAGGTAATGCTCAGTAAGTAGACTGGCTATACCAGACCAATTTCCAGACTATGGACTTGAACCAGCAACCTTCTGGTTCCCAACCAAAGTCCCTATAGACTGAGCTACTGCCGCCCAAATTGTAACTGCTGCAACATCATGACAGAACATTTTTTTTAAACTTTAGTCAAATTTAAACATTTTTTTTGCAGCAGTGGGAATCACTACACCTAGTTGGAAAAAGGCCTGGACCTCCATAAAATGTTCCGTTTAGTTTAGTTTTTTGTAGAGACAAAATGACTGGTGACATTCAAAGATGATGCAAGGAGTATTTTGTTGTATCTTTTTGTTTTGGAAAAAGAAGGGTTAGTTACCCAAGTTTCCAGCCTTTAAGCTAAGTTAAGCTAAGCTAAAAGTGGAATGAGTGTTATCAGCAGTTTCTTCAAACTCTAAGGAAGACGACGATGACTAAGAAGAGTCCCACATATCTCTTGCTCTCATAGATCCATAGATAGAGTAAGTGTCAGAGGAAGCATACAGCCAGGTGTATTAGTGCCCCCCCTGAGTGATGACCTTTTTCAGCTAAGAGCTTAGACCTCTACAGAACAAACTCACACACACACACGCGCGCAAACACACACTCACACATACGTGCGCGCACACACATACAAAGTCAAGATTCATTACAGATTCATAAGTAACAACATGCCCCCAACCCCTCCTCACCAAGACATCATAAAGGTCAAGTTCATCTTCCTCAGTATTCTCTCAGTGTCTCCTTTCTCTCCCCTCATTGTCTCCAGAGGTAACACAGCAACCATAACAACAGCAGCCTGTTGCAACTAGAACCTGTTTGCTCATGTGTGTGTGCCCGTGTGTGTGAGTGTGTGTGTGTGAGTGAGTGTGTATTAACTGCTGAGGTAATAAAACAAAATTATATGAATATATTTACATAATGGAGCGTGTTTAGCTTGGCTGTAAGGTCTGCCAGTCAAGCACACTGAAAACAATTATTAATATTTCTGAAAGCTATACTGCAAACAATGCTGCCAGTCTTTATTACTTCCCACTGAAACACTTCTCAGGATCTCTTGTATTGAAAAATCTTCATTGGCTTCCAGTCCAGTACGGAATGGAATTCAATATATTACTTCTTGTCTATAAAGCTCTTAATGGTATGGCCCCTCAATAGCTCTCTGACCAGCTCACTGACTACAGCCCAATCAGATCCCTGAGATCATCAGGTACAGGCTTCCTGAATGTATCTAAAATTAAAACACAATCAGGTGGAAGGTGCATTTAGTCACCATGGTGCCAATCTGTGAAACAAATTGCCAGCTGACCTGAGGTCTGTGGAGACACTATGTTATTTTAAAAGTGGCCTTAAACATTGATTTTTCCTCAGGCCTTTGGCATTTAGTTTATCTTTGTATGGACCGGTGTGTATTCACATGTAGGTCATGATGGTTTGTTTTTGCTTTTATTTTCTGTAAAGCCGTGGAGTTTACATTTGAATTAAATGTTATCATTGTCTTTTCTGGTTATCCAAACGCTTCATTGTCCATTTTCCCTTTTTTTGTTATTGTCTTGATATTGTTCAGGCTTGCTCCTGAATGATCTCACAAGTATAAATAAAAGTTGATTGATTGGTTTGCTGAAACCAAGTCAATTTTTCTAACCAATATCCTCAATATCTCTCAGGAATATATTACAGTAGGCTATTTAAGGCTATTTCCCTGGTGGTCTAGTGGTTAGGATTCTGTGCGCTCACCACCGCGGTCCGTGTTCAATTCCCAGTCAGGGAACTACCTTGGGGTGGCAGTATCTCAGTCTGTGGGGACTTTGGTTGGGAGCCAGAGGGTTGCCGGTTCAAGTCCCTGTGTGGACCAAATCTGGTAGCTGGAGAGGTGCCAGATCACTTCCTGAGCACTGCCAAGGTGCCCTTGAGAAAGTACCTCTCTGGTACTCAGTTTGATGTCTTAAAGCTGTTTTTTTATTTTTTTATTTCCCAGGTTCAGATAACAATGGAAGAACTGTCCACAGAGATGAGGACAGCTATGTGGACCTCACCTGAGCCACCTGACCCCCCTGTCCACGTTGAACAGCTAGTCTCACCAGAGACATGGTAAACGTCTTTGCTAACTTTGGTACATTATGTTTTAATTCAGAGGTTAAAAGGAGAAGATGAACTCTATCTTCTGTATCACACTGTTTATTATGTAATTGCAGTTTCTTCATATAATACAGTAAAACCTTTAGCCTCTCATGAAGCTGAGTGTTGTTATGATGTCTCCAGAGACAAACACTGAAGCTGCTTGAAGACAGCTCATCAGACATTCATTCATTCCTGAGTCATTAATTCACATTGGATTATTAGAGTTGCATGTTCTTGAGTGTGTTTTGTCAACATTTGTATGTTGATTTAACTGTTCAAAGACATTGGAATGTAATGAACATGAGATATTTTTACCTTTAATTTGTATTTCTATTACTGATTTTTGCTAAAGAATTCAGTGTTTTGTTGCTTTATTTTAGCAACCTGAATTTCTTGTAAAGGGTGTTTGTAGATAGTCAAAGTCAACCATACCACTCTCCATCCAAGTTTGTTAAAAATTGTAAAAACAAATAAATAATAATATTAATGTTTATATGCCTCTTTAGTGCAGCTCAATCCAGCTGCAACATTTTTTATCTCTGGCCACCAGCGCACTTATTTGATATTATCCCTTAACAGCACTTCTTGTCTCCTTGCAAACTTGCTACAAAACAAAGCTTTGAACAAAAAATATGAGAATGTTCAGAGGATGTCAGGGATGAAAAACTTTATTACAGTGCTTACTGTGATGTTTAGCCGTATTCATTTTTGCCACCCCATTACAGCCAAAGAAATGCAGTATAGACAGGGGCTGCTCTGGTACATGTAGCCACTGCCAGCACTAATCCAGAAGTAAGTTCATTTATAGTCAATATAGGTTGCATTTAGGAATCAACACTGATTGAACATCCAAATACACTTAAAATAATATTTCTTTTAAGCATGTACTTTGCTGATTTAAAGTTCAAATTTGAGTTTGACCTTGGAAGAGGCAGAGTTCACCCAAAAAAATAGGCAACTACTAAATGGTCCTTTTGAAGGGGCTGACATTGACATGACATTTTTTTTTCAAGTATTGTTTTAATTTCCTCACAACTGGTCTGATTCAAACATTAGTTAAGTTGAGACCATTTAACATTAGAAAAAATAGGTTTTTAAAAAGACGAATTTAATGTGAAAAATGTATTGCATCACAAATGAAAACAACAGCTTCTGAATAAGAAATATGTTTTACATTAGTTTCACATGTTTTTAGGGATAAGTTAAATCTATTGGTGACATTAAGAGAGGAATTAATGACACTTAACTGTGTGCTAATCTTTCTGTCTTTCTCTTTTGTGTCTTTTTCCACTGTTCCTCATTTCTCTTTCTCTCGTTCTCTCTCTCTCTCTCTCTCTCTCTCTTTCTCTCAAACACACACACACACACACACACACACACACACACACACACACACACACACACACACACACACACACACTCACAGCGGTGGTGGCAGCTCGGAGCTCCTGGCTGGCTGGCTGGCTGACTGACTGACTGACAGCCCGGCGAAGGCGAGTGACAGGCGGGATGCTCAGGTGGTGTCGGCGGCGATGTGCTCTCTGTGTCCTGTCACTCACCCTACTACCGTCAGCGGAGATGGGATCCGTTTACTGAACACCTGTTTTTACTCAGGTAAGAAAAGCCGCGATGGGTTGTCTGATTGTTTTGTCACAGTTTCTACCTGACATGAGGGAGTCTCAGATTTGTCTCGCAGTGTGAATATCCGAGTACAGTGCTGTTCCTGCATGTGTCGTAGCCTGTGTTGGTGCTTTTTTAAAATTATTTAAATAGGCTACAATGCAATGACATTTAAATTGACGGCGACGTTTGGTACTAAAAACTTGCCGTAAACAGTGTAGGCTAATAGTCAAGAATACTAATTAGTCTCAATTAAAGGCTACGGATAGCCTGTACCATTCACTTTATTTTGTGAAATTGCGTAATGACCTTTTGGTGTCCGTAGAGGGCGCTAATTGGATGATCTTTCTCTGCCATATACCGTTATGATCTATTCTATTACCTGTGATTTTAACTGAGGTTGGGAGCCTATATTAATTATAATGATATTATATTATTATAAATTATACAAAGAATAGCTTAAATATCGTATATAGTTTCAAAGGCAACATATAGCCTAGATACTATTAACATGTATGTACTGATCCCTCAGACAGTGAGCCAATAGGCCTTGTCACATATTTGGGGTTGCATATGGGAATCAAACAATGGGCAATAGAGGAATGACATAATAATCGGAAATATTGTAAGAGATAAGTGTGAATGAAAAGGTTTGGACCAAAATTAGGAATCTTATAGGCCTAATTCTTGCCTATACCGCAATCTTTTGTCTGCTATAATCACTTTTCAAATTACAAATTCACTATCACTGGAATCTAGCCTATTTAACATTCATTTTTTCTCAAAACGTGTATTAACAACATTAACTTATTCTCATTTAATGATAGATCAAATTAAGTAGACTATAAAAGATCCAAAGGAAATGTCCCATGACTATTAGGTTCTTTTAAATTGAATTTTCTTTAATTCGCTTTGACTGAAGTCGTTATTAAATAAAGTTACTTGAAGGCGTCCCAGCACTTTTGTGATATTGCAACTTTTAAGTTAACTAAGGTTAATGATGTAAATTAGTACTTCACCTCTGACAGACTGAGGGCTTGTTGATGCCTGTATAAGTTTTACGTACGGCACGACGTCGACGTGCACGCACGACGTCTCTGTGGCTCAGTATTATTGCTCAGACAGCAGCCACCATGGGGAGTTAAGGGGATACTCGACGGGTTATTTTCGTTAATATTTAATATCAGAAAGTTATCCATATGCTGCGTTTTGGGGCAAACAGTTCACGCCAGTATCCCCAATGCAGTGGATTACGGGGACCGGGCTTTCAGAGACGGTAGGAGGAATACTTTTGTGGGAAAACACGGGACGTTCACGTACCTAGCTAAGCTAGCCAGCTAACAAGCTAACACTCAGGCTAGCTGGCGCTGCAGCCAGTAGAGTGGAAAAACGTGCCTTCGCTTTCTTGTTTTGATTGATCTTAGATGGGCAGATTTGTTGGTGTTTGTCGGTACGAAAGTTTACCTTCCTTCTCTGTGAGTTAACTCAGCATGAATGGATTTACAAAGTGCGCTTGGGTTGAAGTGTTTTTTTTTTTTTGCACGCAGGCCCGTCTTGTGTGGTTGTAGAGTTTGTTTCTGTACCCATCCCCCCACAGTCTTTTGCAGGCCAAGATGAATGAGATTCTCACTTCAAAGCGATGGCATTGGTGGTGGCATTGCTAAAAGGCTAGCTAGCTGTCTTAGCTTGTTAACATTACTTGGTAATTTAGAAACCCGTGTCCCATCGAGGCGAAGCTTTATTTTGACAACTGTTGACGCAAGGCTTTCAGCTAGCTGCTAAACTAACGCCTTAAAACTTAAAGTTGAACTTCAGATGTGAATTCAAACAAACTATTGAACTGTTTCTGATGGGACAGGCGTCTTAGTTGCTAGTTAAAAGTGTGTTAGGGTTTTAACTACATCCAATGCTAACTCCTTGTGTGTATCGATTTAGCATTGTAGCAAATTTATTTTAAGTATTGAGACTTTTCTCCCAATGTTTACCACACTCGTCTGTAACCTCGTTTAATGCTTTATGTGTTTGTATCGTTTCTGCTCATCATATCATTTTGTTGTTATGACTTGACACAGTTAATGGGGTTGGATGAGTAATCCACCTTTAAGGTCCTTGTGTTCACTTCAAGGGCCATAACTACCTTCTTTTCTTATTTTCATCACAGGGTGAATTGTTTTCCAGCAAAATCATTGCAAGAGGCGAAGATCTGACCTCTGCACTGTGCAACCAGAGACATGAGTGTTGTCAGAGAATTACATGGGATTGGGTACAGGGGCGGCGGTGGCGGGGTTGTGGCCTCTCTGAGCGGCCCTACCCACTTTACCGAGGATGCTCCGCGACCCCCGGTTCCTGGTGAGGAGGGATCTGATGTGGACCCCCCAGTCCAGTCGGCCAACACCCGTCCTAACGCCCTTTCCCAAACTCTTGGGTATCCCACTTCATCCTCATCCTCTAAAATGGGGGATCCATCAAGTTATACACCCTCCTCCTCGTCAGCGACCCCGCGTCGCCCTGATCTGGACTTGGGATATGAACCTGAGGGCTCGGCTTCACCAACTCCACCTTACCTGAAGTGGGCCGAGTCACTTCACTCTCTCCTAGATGACCAGGAAGGCATCCAGCTGTTCCGAAACTTCCTTTGCCAGGAAGGGTGTGCGGACCTTCTTGACTTCTGGTTTGCTTGCTCGGGGTTCAGGAAGACAAGCCAGGAGAGGAGGGCGAAGCTTGCCAAGGTCATCTACAGGAAGTACGTTGTGGACGGCGGTGGGATTGTCTCCAGGCAGATCAAAGCAGCGACCAAGAGCTTCATCAGAGACTGTGTTGGAAGGCCACAACCAGACCCTGCCATGTTTGAACAGGTAATAAAATCAGTGGTATCATGTGTAAAGGTTCATACTATGGGCAGTGTATGTTGAATTACACATAGATTTTTCACAATCTGTGTTTGTGGTCCATCTTAGTTTTTTGAATAGGTCTGGTGTAGCCAGGCTTGTCCTGAAATTTTAGGCAGTAACAACTTTAGCCCATGCTATATTTTATTGTTTTATATACAGCAATTGAAACTGAAGTGTGGCTGTTGGAATGATCATGTGTTACACCCTGAAAATACCACGATTAGCTGTGATGCCCGGGCTGTACAGTTTGCTTCCATTAAAACTGGTATAGATTATCTTTGAAAAGTGACGTCATGCATAAGTCAAATCTCATTTCATTTTCAGTATAGCATGTTGTTTGGTGTATGTTTTCTCTGGGAGATTTGCATCCAATGTAAAAGCTGCTCAATAGTTCAGGCAGGCCAAGTGCTTGTGATGGATATGCCATCCATATTCAGTACAGGAATGTTGTTTCCCTCCTGGAAAGAATCTTTAGGGGGCAGGAACTATGGCCCAGGATCTATAACTGGACCTAGGTTACTGAATTTGAAATGCGCTGAGAGTACCTGAGTACTTAAAATGATTCTTCTGTTGCCCATATGTCACCGTGGCCATAAGGACTGTAGTAGAAATTAAAGTCATATTTGTAAACAGCGGGGTAAAGATTGCAGAGGTTTCTGGCTTGCTGCTTTTTTAAGTAAATAACAACTAAATACTAACTCTGGTTACGTTTTGGTTGGAGGTTAGTATTTTACCCTTTCAGCTACCTGGCCCCTCCAACTTTATTTCCTTACAACTGCAGTTCATAACACACCACTGCTAAACAAAATGTAGTCACAGATAGAGGTTACATAATCTCAATAATGAACCAATTGAGGCTGATTTTAGTTTTCTCTGCAGTGAATTATTTCCTACACTTTCTCTTGCTTTCTTTTCGATTGCTGTTTTAAAGAGGATTTATGAGTTGGTTAAAAGTTGTTAAGAAGTCAGTAATTATACATTTCTGCTTCTAGTTAAAAACATGTCAGCAAAGCAAATTACTGAGCGACTTTAACTCAAACCTTTTGTATGAGGACCGTCAGAAAAGCTTTTAGAATGGTTACATTGTGTTTTACCTCTATATGTATCTTTCTGTTTCATTCTGGGAGGAGTGACTGGATAGATAATAGGTTACATAAATGTTCACCATATGTAATTGTTTTGGCCTGGAGTGTGTATTTGTTTGCTATGGACAGTAAGATAAGTAACCTGTGTTCACTTGTATGCTGGAATCCAAGCTGTGTTGTTGTTGTGTCATGCTTAAGTCAATAAAAGAAGTTGCAAGCAAACAGTCAGGTCAAACCTTTTAAGACTGATCAAAACTAAGGCTGTGATAGGCGGTGTGTTGATGAGAAGCTGCGTTTAAACTTGAATTATCATATTTAAATTTGTGTTTAAAAACGGCAACCTCTTAAAACATTATTTGTGAACTATCTAAAGTCCGTGACCATTGTGTTTGTTCGTCTCAGGCTCAGACAGAGATCCAGGCCATGATGGAGGAGAACACCTACCCTTTGTTTCTGAAGTCAGATCTGTACCTGGAGTACACACGGACAGGAGGGGAGAGCCCCAAGCCTAACCCAAGTGATCAGAGTCCTTCATCGGGTCTAGCAAAACCTGTGCCTGGGTACTTACCCACACTTGCTGAGGATGAGGAGTGGAGGTGAGCTGATGCCACACTCAAAAAAACGTAAAAATGTTCTCATAACGTGTGATATGATATGATGCTTAACGAACAGCTCTAAAATCTGATCATAGGTGCGGAGGAGGAGGTGTGAGGGATGTGGAGGAAGAGAAAGATGAAGACGAGTGTGGAGACACACCAGCTAGTAGGCTGACTCAGAGCCTGCTGATGCAGACAGCACCGCAGAGAGCCACGACGAACAGGAGGAAGCCGGACAGCAGGGAGTACAGGTGTGTATGTGTATAACAAGCCACTTGTGTGGTAAAGTTAATATTGTTTCCTCACGTACATATGCATGCACCACTAACAAACAACTACTTGAATGAATGAATGAATGAATAAATGACTTTGAATATATTCAGCTCTTTTTAAAACTTGTTATTTTACCCAGGCAGTTTTTACTTGAACTGATTTTAGAAGGAATTGAATTTAAGTTGGGTTGTTTTTTTACCGGAGATTGTTTTAGATGTCTATATATTAGTTCTCATCTCTTATACTGTGACTACTCTCTCTTCTCAGTATTTCTCTTTGAAATTTTCTTTAAAAATAATAATTTTTAATACTTTAGGAAAGTAATTAAGTCTTAAGAAAACAGCAATCCAAATGGGCGCTGCCTTGGACGCAACCGTATTTTAGAAGTATGGAGACAGGTCTATTTCATAAATGTGAATTTTTGATGTGATTCAAATACCCTCTTCACTTATTCCTGGGGATATGCTGAAGCCTTCTTTGTCCCAAATACAACACTTCAATGTAAACTAACTAGATCATAATCTCTTCTCATTCTCAGAACATGGCGGGAGCCGGTAAACCCGTACTACGCAAACATGGGCTATGCTCGTGCTCCAGCGACCAGTGCCAATGACAGTGAGCAGCAGAGCATGTCTAGCGATGCGGACACACTGTCACTCCCCGACAGCAGCGTGTAAGTACACATAAAGATTGTTTACATAAATCGCTCTGGACTAAACATGTTAAATCACAACACTAGTTTGCTGCTGAGGTCAGTGTTTGATTATTGTGTATGTGTATCTTTGTTTGCAGAGATGGTATTCCTCCATACAGATATCGGAAGCAGCATCGTAAAGAGATGCATGAAAGTGCCAAAGCTAATGGACGTGTGCCCCTACCTCATATACCTGTGAGTTTTTTTTTTTTTTATTAGCCTCATATCGGCATTCATGTAGCATTAATGGGAACATGATCCCTGATGACTTTATTCCAATATGTGCGTAACAAACGCTGTTGCAGACTACAAATAGCGAAGAGAAGTTAATCTTGTAACACAGTAACTGTGTTAGATCAATAACAAAATATAAATACAATGGCTTCCCAATATTGTTCCTAATTGGAATAAGCATATTCTATTTCAGGTTTCCATTTTTAACTTCTTTTTTTTTGTGGCATTTTTGTGTTTGTTTTGGAGCCATTTGATACATTAGTTATAACAATTCTTCCTGGATACATTTGACTATAGTTCTCATTTGAGTTTATTAAGAGGGCACCTATATTTCAGTTTCAGATGTGGGTGCAAACTTGTTTTAAATAATTTCTTTGTTTTTGTCTTTCTGTAGCGCACGTATCGCATGCCAAAGGACATCCATGTACAGCCTGAGAGGTTTGCTGCGGAGCTTATCAGCAAGTTAGAGACGGTTCTCAGAGAGAGGGAGGCTCAGGAAAGACTTGAAGAGAGGCTGAAGAGAGTACGACTGGTGAGTTCATAACAGCGTGCTGGTGGTGTTTCCTGAGAAACACTTGATTAATATTGAATCAAATTTAGCATTTTATGTTTTTACTTAAGAGTGTGTGATTGCAAATTGTCTCACTGATAAAGGAGAAGATGATAATATTTAAAAATGGAAATATCGTGTTTTGAAATCATAATGCAGAAAAAGCGGAAAACCTCCAACACATGACCAAAAAAGGATACTTTTTTATTCCTACAACGCAATTCAAGTATTGTGTCACTAAGAGGGTTGTTCTGATCAGGAGAAAGTCCTTATTTGAAACTGTTTTAATCAGGTTTTCTTTTATTTGTGTTGGACCACGGAGCTAAACAAAGTTCTCCTGTACATTGTATTGAAAAATGGCTTCTGTACTTTGGTTGGCATTGTATTGGATCATTTGATGTTTCCTGACTAATTGCAAGCAGCAAATAATACAGTCACCAGAGGTCTAACATCTTTTAAAGTTATTTAGATTAGTTCCAAAGTTTTTTTCTCTATTTCACATTTTAATTTTCATCGGCGGCGATCACTTTCCTTAATGCCTCTCTATGTCTATCTGCCACCGCTGTGTTAGGTTTCAAATAGGGCTGTAGATCTGTTGTTTGTTAGAGCTTAGGTACTTTCAATACTGAAAAACACAAGAATAAAGCAGATTGTATCATATATAACGTCTAGTATCCAAGAGAATCTTGAATATCAACCGTTTCTACAACCAACCAACTTAGTTCTTACTGCTTTAAGCGTGTGAGGTCACACTTTAAAATCTTTGTCCCCTTATTCAAACAGGAAGAAGAGGGTGATGATGCTGACGTCTCCGTGACAACCTCCATGTCTTCTCATAGCATACCACTTACCCTCCCCTCATCATTTCAACCTCTCTACGGCGCCCGTTACTCAGAGACCACTGCTAACACAGCAACGGTGGCCACATATGGCGGCCTTGTTGCCATGGAGGATCCCCTTGATGACGACCCAGAATCTATCCTGGATGAGCATGTGCAGCGTGTGATGAAAACGCCAGGCTGCCAGTCGCCAGGGGCAACCAACAGCACCTTAGGAGGAGGTCGACATTCTCCTCCCAAATCATCACGTTCGCCTGATGGGGGGATTGGCCCTCCTCACTTCCCCCCTCACAGAGGGGGAGTTCACACTCTGCCTGTTCCCGGGGTCAAAAGTAAGAGGCTGTGGGGCTGAAGGGGCACGTGCACTGATTCTTTTCTGTTACTTTAACTCTTAATTACAGTTCTGTTGTACGTATTCCTGTTCTCATTAGATAAGATGCTGTTATATGCTCATATTGTACCACATCCCCTTGTTTTGCAGCTGTCAAATTGAAGTGACTGCATTTTTCGATTAGAAACAAATCTCATAGAGAGACAAACACTGAACAGTAGCTCATCTCACCATTAATTTCCGACCTCTCTGCCCTCAGTTAAGTTTTCCTCAGGTCACTGGCAAATCAGATTTGCTTTCCACATCAGATCTTTAATACAGACAGTCTACACTGGTTTTGCAAGTGATGATAAGGGTTTTTTATGTCCAGAGACTGGAAGATGGACATTTATAGTAATCCAAATTCTCAGATACTTGCATAACCTTATGAACAAGTACTTGCTTATTATATCTTTTTACCGTAAAAAAAAAAAAGAATCTAACACAGACCTCCCGTCCTTTATGTCTTCTGAGACATATCACCAAGCTGTCCACCAGCCTGTACTAACAGACACTTTACTGTTCTGCAAAATTCTGCTACTCATAAATCTTTCCTCCATGTGCTTGAGGAAGCCTTCTCCTTCCATAAAAAACTTAATGGTAGCATATTTCCAGTTTTAGCTTATTTGGGCATAAGGCTAATCTTCTTCGCTCTGGTGTCATCACAACAGCATGCTAACAGGGTTATCAAATATCTTGATGTGAGACTGCCTGTTGTCTGTCTCTGTTGGTTTCTCCTTGTGCTTTAACCTTATGTGGTAAATGTCTTTCAACATCAAACTTGTATTTCTATCAAAGGTGCACCAATAGTCTGGCATGTGAACAGAATCTATACTCTGCTGTCACAGTGAGCCCTTGTTGACTATGAGCTGCATTGTATGTGCAAAGCAGCAGAAGCTGTGCACTCCCTTGTTGTCAGTGTATTTTTTGTGGCTAACATCTCTTTTTAGATTTAAATTTCACGAACTGATAAAGCATTTCTTTGATTGCGGTTGAAATTGAATCATCGGTGTGTGCTCTGTGTAAGTTTGAAGCCTGCAGCACCCCACTGTGCAGTAACATCAGAGTTCCAGGTGTCTATGGTGAAGCTTTTAGCTTTAACATCCATTCACTCGGCTTCTCATATGTTCTTGTAGAGGGAAGGCAGAGTACTCTCGTATGTGATGTTGAACTGTCTCTTGATTCAAAGTGTTTTGTCGCTTTCCCACCATCACTGGGATGTTATATTACATCTATATATTGCAATGAGGCCGACCATGTTAACTGCTTTGTTTCCTCTGCCTTCTATGTTTGGTAGAACTCTCCGTTCTACCGCCATCCCTCAAGTTAGCTTTGGAGAAATTGCAAAAGCCATAGACATTTCATGGAGAGAGTCTATTATCTCACTAATTAGCAGTGGTGTATGGATATACCGATCTGAATCAGGATCGTCGCTCTAGAAGATCCAATCGTATTGAATCGTCTTGTAAAGGAGAGATTCACTTCCTCTACTAATTAGCCTCGCTGTGATGTCTGTCTCAGGTATGCATCACCACAAACCGTTGTACCACCACAGAGGAAGAGAAGGGCAGGAGGAGGCCGGCTCTAGGTCCCAGGCCAATATCTTATGGAATGGAGACCCAGCCAGCCAGTATGCAGGGAGAAGTCGTAACTACGCCGATGGAGCGGGAGCCAGCACGCTGGAGGGCATGGGTTACAGGTAGGCTACTGTGGTTGAATTCTAGCACATATTCTTGGCCTTAAGCAATCTACATATGCTGTTTTTTGTTCTGATTATCTCACCTGGTTTGTGTCATCTGTTCATTCTGCAGTAGTAAAGGCAGCACACTATCTCGGCGAGGTTGTAAGAAGTCGTCAGAGACACCTGGGAAAGTGGATGATAGTGGGCGAGGCATGGAGGGCCAGGTACCACTGGATGATCTGGAGAGAAATCAGAAGATCCTGCAGTGGATGATGGAAGGAGATAGACAAAGGAAGAGCTCACATGGGTGAGTAGTATTATATTAATGTCTTACAACTGGTTAAAATGTGTTTTTGGCTTTATATTGATAGTTTGAGTAATGATTGATTCATTTGATTGAGATTGTATTGATTTACAAGCCCAAACGGATGTGCCAGTATAGTTATTCAAGAAAAAGTATTAGACAAGAGGCAGCACTAAAAATGCAGGACAATAGAAGTGGACTCACTAGATCTGTGAATGCTGACGTGTTGTATGACAAAAGTAGCAAGACATGAAATTTAGGGTAACAAACTATGGGGTCTCATGGTGATGATGATGTTGAAGGAACGCAACAGAAAACACTGTTAACACAATGAAACACTGTAATGTACAACATACCCAAGAATGTGGAAGCTCATGTTGCTGTTCACAGAAAAAACTCACTCAAAGTTTTTAGGAAATTGAGCCTGTTCATATTAAACACATTCAATTGATCCACTGTTAATAGAAAATATTGACTAATACTGCTTTACCACAAATTTGTGTTCCCCTTACGCTTTCCAATTGATAGGATGTATCAGTAGGCTCTATCAGTCACTTTTGTTGTCATGTCCACATACAGTATATAAAAACAAACATGCACACACTTCTACACAAAGCAGGCTAAAAATCATGTTTGGGGGATTTCACTTCTAGAAGCTGGATTAAATACTGTTCTAGATTCCTTTTTTTGTTTTTTAATGTCAAGCCTTGATGCTCATCTTCCCTCTCCCTGTCGTCTTTCCAGCGGCAGCACCAGCAGCTCCAGGAGGACAGGGGCCAGCAGCGAATCACCGCGTCCAACATCAGTGGAGCGACCTGGAGCTGTGCACCCCTGGGTCTCTGCACAGCTGCGTAACAACCCCTCCTCCGTGTCCCCGGCCCTCCCTGGCTCTGTGTCCACACAGGTCCAGCCCTCTCACCCATTCATCCAGGATCCAGCTATGCCACCCAACCCGGCTCCCAACCCGCTCACCCAGCTAGAGGAGGCTAGGAGGAGGCTTGAGGAGGAGAGAAGGAGGAATGCGATACAGCAGGCCAAGCAGAGGTACAATTTTCTTACCACTAATCAAATGTGTCTTTGTTGGCTTATTTTCTAAATTGACATGGATTGACATCTTTCTCTAAGGCACAAGTCTGGTAAGCGCCAAGTGTGTGACAACATGACCGTTGCTTACTACTTCTGTGGAGAGCCTATCCCATACCGAACATCAGTCAAAGGCCGTGTAGTGACTCTGGGCCAGTTTAAAGAGCTGCTTACCAAAAAGGGCCATTACAGGTAAGAACATCTGACTCATGTATTATGAAATATGGTGAGTTTTTTTGTAGCACTTCCCTCTAACATTATCCTGCTTGTCTGAATTTGTTTGCAGGTTCTACTTCAAGAAAGTGAGCGACGAGTTTGACTGTGGTGTGGTGTTTGAGGAGGTCCGTGACGATGACGCCATCTTGCCCATCTTCGAGGAGAAGATCATCGGGAAGGTGGAGAAGGTTGACTGAAATGTTTGGGAACAGGAAGATGACATGGATCATTTGAAAAAGAAAAGGAGATGGGAAGAGAACTTTGGGATTGGACCGAATTCAGCTGTGGGAAAATGTACGACAGAAAGTAGAAAGATGGAAGGAGCGATGTGTGACAGAAGGTAATTGAGCTGCGTGGTAAAAGCTCAAGTAATAAGGAAGTGGTTCATTTTCACGGCATATCTGGAAATCTGCATCATGCCTGGATCAAACACACATACTGCGAAGAAGATCGGCCAGATGAAACAGAAGCAAAGGAGAGGAACTTTAATTATTTCACCGTCTCGTCTCCACTGTGGATATATGAGGAGCGCTGTTAAAATCTGATGTCTGTCCAGTCTTCCTCTACGATGGATGGAAAAGAGTGAGGGGGCTGCTGGGGGAGGAGAAAAGGAGTAAGTAGTCTTCCATCTCTGCTCTGGAGGAGTCTGTCCTCCGCAGACCATTTTGATGCTGCTACATTACCATGGAAACTCTTCAATCGGTGCTCGGGACAGTAAATAAAGCGTTTTTTTTTTGTTGTTGTTGTTCCATTCGGGAGTCTCGCTGCCTTTTGCTGTCTCTGTTCCTCATCAGCGGGGGGAGGAGAGAAGAGGACAGAGGATTTTGGGGGGAGTGGAACTTTAGCCTGCTTCTCCTCTTGTCGACGTCATAGCCTCAAAGGAGAAACTTTTCTCACCGTGATTCCTAGATGTCATGTAGTGATCTCTGACACCGACATGTTCTCACAACAGTTCTCCACACAACTTGTTTACCAAAGCTACATATTTTTGATAAGGCAAGTACCCTAGCTACTTGTTTCATTTTATTTGAATTGTCTATGTACAAGGCAGGTACTATTACTTATTAATGAAGCCTAATTTCGTTGTATCTCGACTTTAATGTTGTATTATTGTGTATGTTTTGAAGCTAGTTCATTAGTCATTTCAGGGCAGCAATGTTTTGTTTTCTCCTCTTAATAACATATCTTCACCTCAGTTCTGTACTGTTAACTTTGAGTGTGCAGTTTTGTTCTCCTAAGTGATGGATTTTAATTACCGTAAAATCCGGAATACAAGTCGCACCAGTATTGTATGTAAGAAAAAGTCTGTTTTTGAGGGTCTCCCAGAGAGGAAAATGGTTGAAACTGTCTCCTGCGTGGCGATTTCTATCGTGTTCAGCAAAGTCATCAACGTGCCGTTCCTGTGCAGCTGAAGTTGGCAGTTGTTTTTGCTTTGTGGAGTTTCCACTTCTACGAGCTACAGTACGGTAGTTGAGCTACGGCGACAGTTGGACCCAAAGCCCAACAATCATGCTGCACAGCTCAGCTGGTCGCTCGTTGACGTTACTGGGAATCTTTTCTATCAAACCAGCGCTCCACAAAGTTTTTTTATACTTAACAGTAAACCACTGTTTTCTTTTAAGTGCATGACTTCATGAGGGAGGAAAAAGGTTCAAAAGTGGGGCTGCCAGCCTGGTCTTCGATGCCATGTATCCCAGCACAGCTTGCAGTACACAATGTATAGAGGGAAATGTTCAATAGCGTCAGGTGGCGTGCAATGTTGATGGTGGCGGCGGCACTCACTGTAATGATGGCACGTGTGTCAGCCTTTTATACTGGTATATTGGTTCGCACCGGTATATAGGACATAGCCAACTTTTTAAATGAAAACAATTGTTCTTATAAATGCGTCTTATACACCGGATTTTACAGTAAAACTTCAAAAATTCTCATGAAAAATAAAAACACACTAAAATGTGTGACACCTTTGACCACACTATCTATTGTTTCTAACAGCTCACACCTCATTTGTTTGTGTAACTCCCAAGCTCAGTCTAGGTGCCTGCCTGTCCAGTGCCATTACTATCTAGAAAGCTTATTCTGAATCATGGTATGTGTGAGGGGGAAAAAAAACATGTCATGTACACCCGAACTCAGCCAAAGAGCATAACGCGCGTCCCTTGAGCTGGCATCATGCTTTTGTCTGTGCAGTCCAAGTCTGCGAGTTTTGAATCAATTTTCCCATCATGAGCAGAATGAAATCTTAATCTTCTTGCAGATTCCTCAATTATTTGGTCTTAGGACTAAGAACTTGAATTAAAATCTACATCTTGTTCTGAAAGTATACATGACATTTTGGGAAACTTGCTCTGTTTTTTTCTCGCTGTGAAACGGTGAAAAAATTCACAACAATTTAAGTTTGTATCGCAAATGCTGAGCGACAGCTCTTAGCTTAGCTAGTATCAAACCAACCAACCAACCAACCACAGCAAGCCTGGCTTCTGCCATAAAGTAAAATAAAGCTTCAAATACTCTTTATTTTTATCATTTAATATTTTCTGAACGTATTAACTCATCCATAAATTATTTCACCACAGTTTTCTTAACCCCAACGGAATAAATTATGTGAGAATTTTATTGATCAAATTGCAAATTATTTTAGAGATTACAATTTTAGTTTGATTATGCTTCAAAATACTGTAAAAAAGAAAAGGAAAAAAAAAAGCTCATCCCTGTCACAAAGCCACAACTTCAAATTTCCTGAACAGTCCACAACCAAAGGATTTTTTTATTTGCCATCATTGAAAAGAAAAGTTGAGATTCCTTCCATCAAATAAGTGGTAAGACAAGTAAATTATAGATTCTTGAATGTGTTGTGGGTCTGTAGCCTATTGCCACAGCCAGACTAGCCGTTTCCAAGTGTTCAGTGTCTATGCTAATTTAATCTAACCGCTAGCGGGCTGTAGCTTCATGAAAAAATTCAAAGAAATAAGTAATTTTATCAGCGTTGCTTCAGCGAGACAACTCATTAGCATATTTTTTAATTATGTCAATCTACTCCTTCAAACTTTACTACAGAAAGGCCGTCGAGGCCAGGACACCACAAAGCACCGTGCAGCTGATGCACTGATCACACACCAGCTATGTAAGCTGAATGTACTTTGACTTTTTTAAAAACTTTAAACCTCAACAGAAATCCCTTCGCTGGTCACATCATCATGTCTGTTTTCAGTTGTGATCTCATGCTGATTGTTTTGTTTTATCCATGCTGGTAGTTCAATGAATGTGTTCATCAAACATAGAGATCCTACCAAACTTTGTGCAGGAATGTCAAACACAATGAGTCCAGGGCTGCTGCCCGCCAAGGGAAGCATAGGATCTTAAAAACATATGTCATTGCTTCAACCCCTTATGCCTTCAATATAAAAACAAAATATTAGATATGTTTGTTTATAAAAAAAAAATGTAATTTTAATAAACACCAAGCATGTTCTTTATAAGGAATGTTTTCCTGATGAGTTGAATTATCTATTTTGTTTTAATGTTTATGTGCAAACTGCTAAGGCCCTCTGATTTATTTTATGTTTGTGAGAAAGAAAGCCCAGGGACAGTTGAATGACAACATTTGTTGAGAGTTGTTTCTTGTGATAATGATTTGATGGGGGAAAAAAACAAACAACTACGTCTGTTGTGTTGTCAGTTAGTGTGAAACACAGTGCCTTTATCATGTTATCTTTATAAATATCTTTATTGAACCAATCCATACTTTTTAATGGAACTTTTTACTTTCACTCAGTCCCGTTGTTTTTCTTTCCTTTCTTTTTTTTTTTAGCTGCAGTCATTCTCGCTCACTCCTGTTAGAACCTCTGCTGTAAATATGTACATTATCATTTCATATGTGTCTTCAGACCTGCACCACATGTCCACGGTGTTTCTGTTTTTCAAAGGTAAACGCCAAGATGTCACTGTGCTGGTTCCACTTGTACATTTCTTTTAAAAAGGTACTTCATAATAAAGATGTTGAATAAAAAAAAACTGCCTCACACTTCTTGCTTCACATCATATATATTGTTCTGTCATCATTCTCAGGGTTATAACAGTAGTCAAACGTTACAGTGCTTTTCAAAGGACCCAAGGACACTCAACACAGAGAGAGGCACATCACATGAAAAAACATTTTTTCTGTTTCTAAATCAACCACAGATCTCGTCGTGTGAAGGGCTGGAGAGGGTCTGGTAGGAACTTTTGAGCTGAGGGGAAGGGGGGGGTTAACCTTGGCAGCTGATTTCTTTACATACTGGAACCTTTCCAGGGCTTTGAATGGTGTCCTTCATTGGACTTTATTTAATAATTGTAGATAAGGGTTGCTAATGGGTCTCTATCACAGAGGGAGTGATGGTGTGAGTCAAGAATTTTTGGAGGTGGTTTAAAGCAAATATTTGATGAAATAAATCTAAAGATTCACTGTCATCCTTGTAGTGATAGATCTTATGACAATGAGAGGCTGGAGTTTAGGGTTTACCAATGTTCTGGCATTTTGGCGAGCAATTAAAATGTGGTATTTTAGATTTGGCAGATCTGTTTGGTTTAGATCTGCTCATCCTCATTTGGAATTCCTCTGAGTTCTTTAGTGTGCCTGGGGTGATTATACACATAATAAAAGCATATGTCTGCATTACTAGAATGTGTATACATACTGCAGGTTTTATAACTGGTTGGCAGCACCTGGAAATAGGCATTATGACAGGGTGCATCATTTCCCACTAGCACTCTCAATGGTGATGGCAGTAATCATTAGAGCTAAGTGGATGGTAGGTGGGGAGACACGGCAGAATGGGATGTACCTTCCACCAATTAGAGCATACATGGATTACATGACACTGGTACCCACAACAGTGGCATGTAAAAAAAAAAGGTTACTTGAGAGATTGAATCAGAGTATTAACTGGGCTAGGGTAAGGATTAAGCCTGGTAAATCTTAGGGAGCCTACTCTAAACTACATATGGAAACTAGCCTTTTGGCTAACTGGCATATTTACAGAAATATTGATTAATATGCACTGTCCCTTTAAAATTAAAATAAATACACCTAGAAGCATCACAGTGTCCAGAGGGAAGATAATCGAGAGGAAGACTTTATTAGATGAAGAACAAAGTCCATCCATATGGGAAAAGTCAGTGGAGAGCTTGGGTAGGTGGTCTAATGTGGACCTGAGTGACAGGGAACAGATAAAACAATTTGAGGAAAAATGTTGCAGCGGAGATAGGATGGAGAAATAAGTCAGGGCTCCTAGGCCAAGTTAAAGCTGTGGTGTCCGCAGTTTAGACAATTTCCTAGGTTGATGTTGCTGCTGGTCTTTGGGAAAGGCATACTCCAACTACCAATAACTTTAACAGTGGAGTTCAAGTGTGCAAAGGTGAGAAGAGAGTTGTTCCCAACAGGGAGAGAAGACAGGGTTAGTTATTTGGTCCCGAATCCAACTAGAGAGCCAGTGTGTAATAAAGCAGGTCCCAAAGAACCTTTGACTGGAACATTCATTTACAGCGTCTGGTGTGCAGTTAAAACAGTAGTGAGCTGTTTAGCAACAACTTTCAGAGAAAAGAAGTTTAGGAATAGGTTGGTAGTTTTTAGGGACAGGCTAGTTTTCTTAAGAGTGTGCACAACAGCAGATTTAAAAAAAAAAGAAAAGAAAAGGGTGAGACACCACCAGATTGCAATAAGATATGTATAACCGCAACATACTAGTCAAGGACCTATTTATTAAGCACATTTTTGAATAGCGAAGCTGGCAAGATATCCATTGGACTAGAGGTATATTTCATCCACCAGGTCAGTAAAGTCTTGCAGGTAGGTTTGTGTAACTCCCAAGCTCAGTCTAGGTGCCTGCCTGTCCAGTGCCATTACTATCTAGAAAGCTTATTCTGAAGCATGATGTGTGTGAGGGGGAAAAAAACATGTCATGTACGCCCGAACTCAGCCAAAGAGCATAATGTGCGTAGGTAAGCGTCCTTGGGTTTCATGAAAGGCGCTATATAAATCTAAGTTATTATTATTATTATTAGGTTAAATAGGAGTTGAACAGCCTTATCAATGGCTGATATATAAACAGTAAAGTTGTGTAAGGGTTGATGCTGGCTCATCTATAGTCTTAATATCCTCAAATTTATGTTTTTGACATACATTAGGCATTAATTGAAGTTTCATTTTGTTGCCATATAGCCTATCAATAATGTTTTCCTCCTAGTTTTAAAATACCAAAAGAATACCTTAGAACATCAGATCAAGTTTTTTAATAGCTCTATACATTTTTTTACAAGTAGAAATATCCTAAATCGATGCACTTAATGATCCTATGGGAAAATGAGGCAAATTCCAAAACCTCTGTAAAATAACAACAACAACTACAACTGTACTTTAGCGCCATCTTGTGGACGTTTACCAAAAAGACGAGAGGTCAAAGTTTAAATATGACGCAAGCACGTACAGGGACGAAATAGTTGAAAACCTAGTCTGAGAACGCATTTTCCATACAAGTTTATTAATTTCTTAATTTCCTTCCGACAAAATTATTCGACCTAAAACGACGCGATTACGCGCTCAAGTCTCACTTTTAATACGCGGAGAATTGACAAGAACGGAGCGGCCGGCCACCGTACAAACCCCTTTCGGTATCTGTTGTTTAGCCATATTAGCATGTTAGCTCGCTGACAGCGTTAGCCCAGTGGCGGTGGGGGGGGCACGCAATGGATGCTTTAAGTATAGTTGCAGATGAAGTGGCTTTGGAAGGGTTGGACGGGATAACTATCCCCTCTCTGTGGATAAGACTTGAGTGTAGACAGCCCAAGTTTCCCTTGAAGCTCGACGACTGCACCAAGGAGCTGCTGTGGAAGTCACTGATCAGCAACACCGACCTCACCTTTTACCTGCTCCCACGTGAGAGAGACGATGTTGAACTGTTTGACAGGTGAGTTCATCACTTTGCATAAAAGCTAAATGTAATCCGAAAAACAAATATAGATATACTCACATAGTCAGTTGAATTCCCGATGTTTAATACTCTTGAACTTCTCCCTATGCTGTATTTTCACTGTAGCTTACTTGTTTGAAATGTTGTATTTATCCAG